CAGCCACATACGGACCCACAAGGAAATCCATAATGGAAGACCATCTTACTCGTCCAACGAGGGATCGCCTCAAAAGGGAGCTGTCCAGACTCACTTTGCAGATATCTTTAGAAAGAAACCTGATCATCTCTCTAGGCCAGTGTTTCTCAAACACTGCTCCTCCGAGTGTTGTAGACCTCAGGTCCCAGAAATCCCAGCCAGCTTACCAGCTGTTAGGTTTTTTGGGAGCTGAAGTCCAAAACATCTGGAGGAGCAGAGTTTGAAAGACACTGCTCTAGGCAATTGGTTCCATTGCCAAACCTTCTTACTCCATCAAAAGCTGCTCTTACTATCCAGCAGTTCCTTCTGATGTTTGTTCTTTTTGAGCTCCTCTCAAATACACTTTTTCTACTCCTACCTCATCCTACCTTTATCTTGTCCATTTGGCCTGCCCATTGTGTTCGATTATCTATTATGCTATTTTGTTTGTTTACTTTATTTTGCCACAGTATGTACTTTATTGTGATGCAGTTTTTGTTGTTGTATTTTGCACTTTATGTTGCTGTATTGTATCTTTGGCCTCGTGTTAGCTGCCACGAGTCCCTTTCAGGGAGATGGTGGTGGGGTATTTATTTATTTATTTATTTATTTATTTATTATTTAAACTTATATGCCACCACTCCCCTGGGGCTCGGAGCGGCTTACAAGAATAGCTAAAATCTAACAAAGTTTAAAAGCAATTTAAAACAATTTAAAAACAACAGTATAAATAAAGATGGTGGTGGTGATGATGATGATGATGATGATGATTTTTTTTTGTCGTGTCAGGAGTGACTTGAGAAACGGCAAGTCGCTTCTGGTGTGAGAGAATTGGCCGTCTGCAAGGACGTTGCCCAGGGGACGCCCGGATGATTTTGATGTTTTTATCATCCTTGTGGAAGGCTTCTCTTATGGAGTTGATAGAGGGAGCTCATCCACCTCTCCTCGGATTTGAACCTGCGACCTGTCGGTCTTCAGTCCTGCCGGCACAGGGGTTTAACCCACTGCGCCACCGGGGGCTCCTAGATGATGATGATGATTGAAGCCTCCCATCTTATATCATGATGGATTCAAGTTATAGGAAAAGAGATACCATCTAAACATTAGGAAGACTTTCCTGGTGGCAAGAGCTATTTTACAGTGGAATGTGCCGCCTCGAGAGTGTGGTAGAGTCCCAATTCTCTGGAGATTTGCAAGCAGAGGCTGAATGGCCATCTGTCAGCAGTGCTTTGATGGTGTTTTTCCTACACAACAGAAGGGCCTTGGGCTGGATGGCGCATGGGAACTCTTTCAACTTCTGTGACCTGGTTTTACTCTGCCTGTCTCCTTCTCTCTATGGTAATCCTTGGCATGTTTGAAGAGCTCGGCCCTGCAGCCTTTGCTTCACCAAACCAAACATGCCAAACCTATTCAACCTTTTCTCATATATTTTGTTCTCTATGCCTCTTATCATTCTCTTTTCTCTTCTCTGGACCTGCTCCAATGTGTCTGTATTCTTCTTAAAATAAGGCATCGTGACCCGAACACAGGACTTCAGGTGATTGGCACAAAATATAGTGGGACTATTACTTGTCTCAACTTGGAAGCTGTGCTTCTCTAAATCTTTCACCTGTTTGATCAGGTGAATTGTTTCACTGTAATTGCTCCATCTCCATGTTTTAAAGAAAAGTGAATGAAATAGGGAATATTTAAAAAAATGATCCAGCTCTGAAGACTTGAATTTGTTGATGAGACTGAGTATGGTGTCCTTGTTCTTCCTTATAGCAAAAGATGATGGCAGCATCGCAGTCGCGCTGGGTTACACTGCTCACTTGGTCTCCATGATTTCCTTCTTCTTGCAAGTGCCACTCAGGTATCCCATAATTCACAAGGGCTCCAGATCTGCAATCAAAGATAATATTAATGACAAGCTGACAGAGAAAGAAAGAGAGTAAGTGTGTGTTTCTATCTTGGGGGAGACTGCGAATGTCCACCAAAAGCTTTGCAACTTGTTTTTTGCATGTCATCCACTGTATTTCATAATTTCAGTTTGTTCTTGTCTCCTTTCAGCAGTAATTTCAAATAATATTGGCATTGATGTCTGATTGAACTGGGTACATCAAGCGAAATATTAGATGTAAATATTTAAACATTATTTTTAAATGTTCATCTTGAATACTTGAACTGTTTTGGATACATGCAAGAAAAGTCTGGCTTGCTTTAGGAATTAAATTGGAAAAACAAGTCTTGGATTTGACAGCTCTGGATTCCAATTAAGATCCTTGCAGAGGGAAAACAAGACCATCCATCATATACATTTCATGGGGGAGGGCCAAGATGCAAATGAAATACAGATTGAATATCTCTTATCTAAAATCCTGGGCACCAGAAGTATGTTGAATTTAGGATATTGTACATTTTGGAAAATCTTACATATATGTACATAATGAGATACCTTTGAGATGGTCCCGGGTCTTAAACAAAATGCATTTGTTTCATGTACACCTTGTACACATGGCCTGAAGGTAAATTCATACAATAATTATCTATATAAATAAAAATGCAATGTTTATTTGTGGGATTAACATAACTCAAAAACCACTGGACAAATTGACACGAAATTTGGACACAATACACCTAACAGTCTAACGAGTGTCCATCACCCATAAACACTCACACACACGCACACACAGAGATACACAAAACCCCAGCGGAACAGACTTTAAAACCCCCAAAATACACCATATATACATAGACACATACACTCATATACATATGCACATGCACACATTCATACACACACATGTATATATGCACAAATACACACAAATATACACATATACACACATACATATACATACACACATATATACATATACACATGCACATATACATGCACACATACATATACACATGCACACACATATATGTACACACAAATATGCATATAGACAAGCACACACACATACACAATATGCAAGTACACATATAAACACAAATACACACACACACACACACACACACATATATATATATGCAAACACACACATATTATAATAATAATAATAATAATAATAATAATAATAATAATAATACTTTATTTGTACCCCGCTACCATCTCCCAAGGGACTCGGTACATGAGGCCGAGCCCACAATACAACAATAAACAATAACAGCAATAATACAAAACAATACATAAAACTCATAAGCAAAAAAAGCAAAAAACATTAACAATTAACAATACACATACATACACACACATACACACATATATACATACTCAAAATACATATACAAAGACTGGGCCACAGCAATGCATGGCAGGGGATGGCTAGTAATACTATATTTCTTTAAGACTTTATTGATGGTAAGATGCATGCTAATTTCAGTACTGGCAAAAATCAAAAACAAAAACCAGACCCCTCAATGTACAGTAGTGTGTGTATGTGTGGGTGGAGGCACACCCCATTTTTAGAGACGTTTATATGACAGGGAAAGTGTCATATAAATTAAATTCTTATATATAATTCAATTCTTAGAATTGAAGAAATACAGTCATTCTGCACACAGAGTGAAGTTTGTGTACATTGCCCCACATAGGAAAACTAAGGTGTCACTATCTTAGTCACCCGTATGAACAATTTTAGATTTTGGAGGATTTCAGCATTCTGGGTAAGGGATGCTCAACCTGACTTTTTATTAAATCAGGTGCAAAAAATATGATTACGTGAAACTGACTGACGCATTGTCCAAAAGTTGCAGATGATAGCAGATTGTATAATAACTCTAATACTGTTTGTGGAATTGTCTGATTATCTGGTGTTAAGCTGTTTTATTGGCAGCCATAGATTATTCATAAGCATTCAAACTGTGGCAAATCATTTATGCTCAAAGCGAGGACTGAAATTTGAATGAAAATAGATTATCCTCCTGCTTTTTGTGTTGAATGGTGAAGGGACTGTAGCTGAACATTTTAACCAAAATGATAGCAGAGGCACTTCTATTTGGATTCTGAATTATCACTTTGGGCTGCATTGTATGCTATTTTCCTAAAGACAAAAATACCTATAGGTTGACAGATATGTTGGCAGTTTAGCAAGCTTATTTCTTTACGCTGCATAGAGTCTAAAGTGCAGTTCTTGCATACAAAAATCTCCATATCTTTAGTGTTGAAGTATGTTATAAATTACAGTATGCTCCTCATCTCCTTACAGCCCATTTGGCTCCTACTCAGAAGTTTATGATTCCTTAATGCGTAGTTCATGATAAAGTTAAATGCAAACCCAACTTCATGTTTATATTTATGTCTGCTGGTGTAAAATTACAAGGCTAATTTCATTCACACTATTCTCACCCCCTTTTTGTTCTTGGAAATTGGCGTGCCCCAAGGAAAAAAAATAGTTTTCATCAAGTGTTTATGTCTGTATTCCTGCCATATTTTCTTCTAATTCTTCATAAAATATAGAAAGTTTAAGAACATGCCCCTGCTATGAATTGATTCAAGCAATTTATCTAATCTAAAATCTAGTCCCAGTTGGAACCGACTGTGCCTTTGCAAAGGATAAACAATCAAAACGATCAATTGAAAATGGTGGAGTGGTGAAAGAGAAGACAGCACTTGGTGTTATTGATTCTTGTTTTGACCAAAATGAAACACAACCCACAAAAGAGCTGTACCTTTATAGACCTACTGAAATGCACAAAATACATCATGCAAATTTTCTTTCTTTATTTTTTTGGAAATTATTTTATTAATTATTTGACACAAACAATCTAATATACAATTAGAAAATATACATTCAAAAATAATAAAACATGTCTAGATCTATATTTAAATGGCAACTTGTGCAAAGTAAGTATAGCATACTTTACCATTCACTAGAATTCAGAGATGGGCCAAAACTAACAAAATGGAAGTTTAACAGTGACAAATGCAAGATACTCCACTTGGAAAAACGAAATCCAAAGATATAGAATGGGGGATGCCTAACTCGAGAGCAGTACGTGTGAAAAAGATCTTGGAGTCCTCGTGGACAACAAGTTAAACATGAGCCAGGAATGTGATGTGCCGGCAAAAAAAGCCAATGGGATTTTGGCCCGCATCAATAGGAGCATAGTGTCTAGATCTAAGGAAGTCATGCTCCCCATGCTCTATTCTGCTTTGGTTAGACCACTTTACCTGGAATATTGTGTCCAATTCTGGGCACCACAATTCAAGAGAGATATTGACAAGCTGGAATGTGTCCAGAGGAGGGCGACTAAAATGATCAAGGGTCTGGAGAACAAGCCCTATGAGGAGCAGCTCAAGGAGCTGGGCATGTTTAGCCTGAAGAAGAGAAGGCTGAGAGGAGATATGATAGCCATGTATAAATATGTGAGAGGAAGCCACAGGGAGGAGGGAGCAAGCTTGTTTACTGCTTCCTTGGAGACTAGGACGCGGAACAATGGCTTCAAACTACAAGAGAGGAGATTCCATCTGAACATGAGGAAGAACTTCCTGACTGTGAGAGCCGTTCAGCAGTGGAACTCTCTGCCCCGGAGTGTGGTGGAGGCTCCTTCTTAGGAAGCTTTTAAACAGAGGCTGGATGGCCATCTGTCAGGGGTGATTTGAATGCAATATTCCTGCTTCTTGGCAGAATGGGGTTGGACTGGATGGCCCATGAGGTCTCTTCCAACTCTTTGATTCTATGATTCTATGATTCTATGAATACATTTTCAAAGCAAAATCTGTGCAAGCTATTCTTAACTAGAATTATTGGTTACTATGATTAAGAAAATGTTTCAATCTGGAACATAGCAATAGTACCACCAGCTACTTCCCCCTTGCCCCTCCTTATCATATGCGAAAATCCTAATGTATTTTTTAAAAGAAACTCCTTGCAAGGCAGGGAATATATCTTCACAATCAGGAGAATTTCAAAATATGATTTCACATTAATAAAGAATAACCCCGTAAAAATGGGAACAGGCATTAAAGCAGTTTCTTGTGTTTTGAGCTTTCTGACTGCATAAATTGAACGATGCTTAAAATCATAATCAAATGTTTCATTAACATTATTCCATCATATTTAGCCTTTTCAGAAATCACTTATTTCTAATTTTGTAACACTCTACCTTGCCCAAGTAGCATTACGCATTTCTTTTTCTTCAAATATTTTTTCATTTTACTTTTCCTTCCCTTCATTGCATTCCTTTGCAAATCATGACATTGAGGTTTTGTTGGGGTGGGGGCAGTCTGAATATTATCTGAAGCCCTACTGGTTTAGAGGAGTGCATCTATCTGAGGATGATTGGCAGTTCCTTTTCCAGTGAGCCAAGGAGCTGCAACATATTTGTACTCATTGGCTAAAGTTGTTTTTTTTTTTCATGCAAATTCAGCACTGTTCTCAAATCAACAGGAACCAGTGATCACTGTTGCCAGTCCAGGACTAGTTGAAGGCTGGCACTTCTCCAGGGACTATCACTTTAAGTGCCACTGCATAAGAGAACATGCACAATGTATTGTCGAAGGCTTTCATGGCCGGAATTACTGGGTTGTTGTAGGTTTTTTCGGGCTATATGGCCATGTTCTAGAGGCATTCTCTCCTGACGTTTCGTCTGCATCTATGGCACACATCCTCTGAGGTAGTGAGGTCCTCACTACCTCTGAGGATGCTTGCCATAGATGCAGGCGAAACGTCAGGAGAGAATGCCTCTCGAACATGGCTATATAGCCTGAAAAACCTACAACAACCCAGAACATGCACAGCACCCAATATGCCATTTGAAACCTGTATACTCTTGCCATTGAATCGGATGATTCAGGGTGTTAGCATGCTGTAAATTGGATAGGATACATATCTGTCATTTATTAATTTGTTTACTGCCTGTCCCTCCTGTGTGTGCCAGGAGCGACTTGAGAAACTGCAAGTCACTTCTGGTGGCTGTCTGCAAGGACGCTGTCCAGGGGAT